ATCTATCTATCTATCTATCTATCTATCTATCTATCTATCTATCTATCTATCTATCTATCTATCTATCTATATATTATAGTCTTAGTCTATAGCAACTAAAGCAAGCAATACTAAACAACCAATACTGGTTCCAAACAGTCATCACTGGCACATTGACGTCTAGCTATAGAAACAAAATCCCTATCTGATGCTTGTGACTGATCTTCAGCAGGGGTTACTGTATGAATTGGACCTCCCCAAACCCATTTCTACATCATTCCAGCGGAATCAAACCCATCTTCACCCCTCTTGGAACTATCTTCACCCATCTTCACCCATCGCGCGCATCTTCACCGTGCCCGCTCGGAGGAGAAGTTTTCGATGCTCCGCTCCGAAGTCGAGGCCTTCATGGGTGAGGCCGACGAACGACCGCGGACAAACGACGCGGTACATCGGCGCGCGATAGGCGGTACAACGGCGCCTTTGAAAGACGTGTTAATTTGGTTCCGTTTCAAAGCAGTGGTTTTTCAGGGTGCATGTTGGTTTTCCAGGGCATATGTGGTCTCTTCACTCACTGTCGTCACAGATTAGGATAGTTGTTACCTGTGAAGCCATCCGACGCCGGAATAGGGTGCTTTCAGAATGACCACAAACATGAGAAAAAAGAAAACACCGACCCCAGTAAACATCCTCAAAGCAATCCAAACCAACTCCACATGGTTTGTTGATGTTAATGCTTTCCCACACTCAAAATAGGAAACACAAACAAACAGACAAAGAAGCAAACCAACCAAAGAAGCAAACCAACCAACCAACCAACCAACCAACCAACCAACCACATGCTCTGACCACCCACCACCTCGCGTTGGGGACTCCCTCTAACCACCCAACTGTGGCGACCGTGGCAGGTGAACTTCGCCCAGGCGCGGCTCCGGGAGATGACCGTGGAGCTGCCAAAGCCCAAGGCGACCGCGCGGGTTCCGCGCGGGGTTCCGCGCGGCGAGAGCGACGATTCGGGGTGTTTTTGCATGGTTTTTTTCGGGGTGGATGTTATCCGTTGTTATCCGGTGGCGTGTTGAACAGGAAGTTGACCATTTTTTCCGTGTGGGGCACATGGGGAAGGGCAGGTGGTACATGGTGGGATAGCATACAGATGTGATCGATCGGTTGAGAATTGTGAAGAAGTTAAAGAGCATCGCCAAAGTGCATGACATGCTCTAAAACTGCTGGAACGCAGGCCCCAAAACGGCTGAATTTGGGCCTCAGATGGGGTTTGCTTGATCCGTCGTCTTCTCGATGTTTGTTGAAGCCCTGTCCAGGGCCATTCACCGACCCTGGAGGCGCTGTGCCGTTGGGGCAGCGGACTGCGTTGTTGGGGAAGGGGACGCATGTCGCTCTGTGAGGAGTAGGGCCAGGAGTAAGAGGATTGTTCACAGAAGGCTGATCAGCCTTACATATCTTAGAAGATAGTGTAAGTAGAAGATAAGGCTGTAACATAGTGTACTTAGAAGAAAAAGGCTGATATGCTCTCTACTTACACTATCTTGTACTATGATTCGAAGGGAGGGTATCCATAGTGCCCCGATGGGCCCTATGGGATCCACGGCACCTTCTCAGAAGGTACAACTGGACCCTCCAATCCTGCATAAAAGTGTCTCCCTATCACCTTCTCAGAGGGCAGTGGATCCATAGGGATGGATCAGTGTTCATTGTTCTCGAGTGGTTTCCCGCAGTCCTTCCAGGAGGTTTGCACGTGTTTTTTTTTGCAAACATGCTTTTTCATCATGTTCCTCGTCCACGACAGAAAAACGGCCAGATGCCAAACTCTCATCCAACAATCCATCCGTCCACTTTTTGCGCAGGCAGGTGTTGTAGAATCTTTGCCTACACCCAGACACTCCATGTAGCCATGCAAAACATGGAACTTGCTCTTGAGCAGAAAGTTCGACTATATGGGTGTTTGGGTGCCTAGGCGTTCGACTCTCTCCTGTTGGCATTCTTGTCCTTTTGGGGGCCATGCTCAAGTATAGATAAGGATCCTATAAGGATCCACCACTGGTTCCAGGAATTGGCCTAGTGATGAACACCCTGACACCACGGGCTTGATATTTTTTCATGATGACTTGATGCTTCACTTTTTGTACGTTGCATTATCAGTGTGTTTCTGTTCTATGTTCATATTTGTTTAAAAGTAAATAAGGCGTTCTTGAATGCCTTTCTTAGTGTAGACCTTCTTACACAGCTCACGGGGGCGGCGTTCTGAACTGGTGAACAGTGTGGCCTCAAAATTGGGACACAGACCTGACATATGTTTCCTTCCATCCAATAACAACCCCTTCCGTGGTGCTGCTATATGCCATGTTTGGGACAGAACCCATGTGGTGCTCCTTCCACCGTGCGCCAGGCCAAAGCGGCGGGTAGCTCCGCCGTAAACGGCGTGGAGGAGCTCCCGGTGGAGGGCGCCTCCACAGGCGCGGCTGGCGTGACCAATCCCCGATCACGACCGACAGGGTGGTTTCGGGGGGTCAATGTACATATTACCGGCAAGTATTATGCCAGTCCCATCGGTCGTGTTTTGGAGCGTTTCTGCGCGGTGCCCGGTGCGCGTTGGCGAGGGCGGCCGCGACCGATTGGGCCTTTGCGACGCAGGCGGAGCGGAGGACTCGACCGAGGATGCCACGGTGGTCGAACCGGAACCGTGGCCGGAGGTCACAGAAGAGGTGCCCCGAACGGTCCGACGGGAACCGCCCGCGGTTGGAGAGTGAGTGTCCTGCTTGGTCACCAGATGAGTACACAGATGTGTGGCAGAGTAGTATGTCTCGTACAGGCACAGGGCACCCAGTCGAGAAGGATCGGTGATGGACCTGGTTATCATATGGTTCAGAATATATGCTGTACAGTCCAAACATGTCCATTTAGATGTTTTGGACCTTTTGAACGTGCTTTTGGTTTTTGACCTTGCAACACCGCGTGTTTCTTTTTTGGTGGGTGTTCTCCTCCGAACAATCGATGTGCATTGTCGACCGCTTTCTGTGCCGTGCCCTCCGGCGACGACGGCGCTTCAGAACCTGAACAGCTTCGAAACAGCTGCGATCGAATGAAGGAAAGACCCAAATGTTCCAACGAAACCAGCCGGTGACTTAGTGGGTCACCTGGGCTCAAAAACAAACATTTCGAGCCAAAACATATTTCACAGCGAAATCGGCCGTCACTGCCATCACTTCCAACAGCCGTCTTCGAAGCATTGCGCGTCGGGCGTTTACCTTTGGCTCAAGGGAAATGGAGGAACTGGGTCTCAGAGTTGACATGGTGGAAGCAACCAGTAGCTACTCGTAGCATGTCATGAGTTGTAGTTTTTCTATACTTAGCGCAGGGAGATCCCTGGCCGTTGATGGATGCCGATGGCCTATGGATTTGATCTGTAATTTGTGTGGGGTCCATGACTGAATGATGGATGGATGGATTTAGCATGATGCAGCTTCTCAGGTGAGGTCAGGGGCACCAGGCCATGCGCCGGCCAAGACTCCGTTGGGCCATCGATTCGACACGAGATGATCATGATATCGTGGAGTGAGTGACCACTTCCCTACACCTCCAGTCATACCTCCTCATAAGGTATTTGGACCCTCTAAACCTACCCCAAAGACCTTCTCAGAAGGTACTTGGAGGCCTAGGGCTTATGCTTGGTCTGAAGGGATTTCATCCGAGTCTTCAGTTGGGCCATGCCATCGCATCCATCAGGAAGCAAAGCATGAGGATGTTCCAGGACGTGTTTTGATTTGTTCCTCTTCAAGCGAAGCACAGATGTGGTTGATGGGGAAGGTGATTGACCCTCTTTTTTCTTCATGTGATTTCGATGGTGGTCAACACACTGAGCCGATCAACTTCAAGTCAGCTCCCGCTCAAACAATTTTGGAGGAGCCAGTGTGTAGGAGTCTAAGAAGTGTCACTTGCTAGCTCACGGCGCATGGAACTATGTCATGACCATGGCTGGACCAAGCCAAGTTCCACGTGCTTGGAGTGAGCAACTTGGTGCATTGGAGGTTCTTGGAGGTTGTTTGATGTGGACGACATGGAGGACCTTCAAGTGGGTGTGGCAGAAAGAAAGGGGTGCGCCTTTCCGACTTTTCTTGAATCACCTCTACTATTTAGGACCAAGTGACGCATTTCCTGGCGTAGAAAAGGGAAAACCGCAGGGATTGGCGATTTGGTTCATTGGGATCATCAGCCCCGGAACACTACTTTGCTGGTAGATGGTGGTCTTCCAGGGGGGTTCAACCCGCCACAGACAGACACTGTCAATGAAAACATGTTCACCAGGACCTTCCCAGTGGCCTTTCAGGAGTCCCTAAGTGACCTCAAACCACGGGATCAAGTTTGGTCACTGGGGAAGCTCGCTCCTGGTCACTGGGGAAGCTCCTGGCATTGATTTATGTGAGCCACTTGGAGTTCAACACCAGGTGCCCAGTCTTCGTGTCTCCCACGCTCCGGTTCGCTCCCGGCGACGTCTCCGGTCTTCGTCTGGTGATGCGAACCAACGAAGGTCGAGAAACACCGCCCCTTCCGGGTCCCAAATCCAAGCGAGGACCTAATGAGGATGGGTATGACATGTCGTGACCCACCCCGTTCACCCTGACCCGAATGAATTCCGGGCGCGAGCGACTCATCTCGTGCCTGGAATTGGGGTTGACCCACAGTCAGGCTGTGGGTCTGTTCAATTCGGATCCCCAAACCAGGGTAGATATCGACCATGTGGTATTACCACCCTACAGGTCGTCCATTCAGTTCAACCCAGGTGAACGCCCGGTTGAAAGACCCACACCCAGTGCTCTGTTTGCCGCAGCATTGGCACCAAAAAAAGGACACGCAGGCACGTGCCCCCTGGGGGAGAGGTGCGTCGCCCGCCATGGCGCACATGATCAAGCCGCAGATCATCCTCCTCAAGGTGCGCTGATTGGGAAAGAGGAAAAGCACTTCGGGGATCGAGCGGAAGAACCATGAATGACATGATGTCCATCCAACAAAGTTAGGGTGAATACCTGCGAAGACCTAAGAATACCTGTGATGTTGTATTTGTCTTTTCCTCCTTGAGGACTCTCCAGTTCTATTTGTTTTGTGGATCCCTTCCAGTTTGCGAGTTCTGCAGATCCATCGTCACCCCATAATATGGTCTATGGATACCAGAGGCATCGAAGTGCAACAAAATGACCATCCCACACTTCGATGACCACAGAACAAGGGTTAAACATCATGCCGGGAGTCGTACTGGAGTTGGGTGGTGTTTAGTCCCCAAGATCCCCAAGTAAGTGGATGTGACAGGGGCACCCCTAACCTCCATGGATAGCACCCCGACATGTGACCTTAAGTGTTTGATTCTTCGGATTTCTTCCAGAATTGGCAGAGCTTGAAGATCTCACCTGGCTTCACGAACGACTCGTGCATGTCCACCATCGATCGCTTCTCCCCGACGGCGGTAAACTCACCGAATCGGATCCTGTTCATTCACCGGAAAAACGCGCGGGTGTTGTCGCAGAACACACCTGCAGAGCCGTGGGTTCAACAAGAAGATCACTATTCTCATCTATTTTGGAGATGGAAAGGCCTGCAGCCTAACCATCATCCACTATGTAGAATTGTCTTAACCAGAGGGTGGAGGAGAAAGTCACAGTTTTGGATCACATATCCTTTTTGAGATTCTTCAAAATGTAATGGCCATAAGAAACAGCTGTGTGGCGAGCATTGATTGGGGCTTGAAGAGGTTCGAAGACCTCCTGCACCATTTTGGGCATGACAGTGGGAACCATGGAAGTATGTTGAAAGTATTTTGTCCACTAAAATTATACCTCTATTTGCAGTGTGATCCACCTAGCAGGCTGCAGGTAAATGCCTTCAATCTCTTTCAATCCACCTTGTCAACCACTCATCGGTTCGGAAGCATGCGCAAGCTGATGCGCAACCTGTGTGAGGATGGAACTGATGCTTCACAAGGGAAGGGTCAGATCATCAGCAACATCAATGCCTGCCAAGCTGCGGGTGGCCTCAGATAGAGCCGATGGAGCCGAACCAACGTCCGACGGACGGAGCGATCCGGGTTCGCTCTGTCGGGGACAGCGCTGGTGTCCCAGCGACCCTGCCTCTGAAGAGGCACCTAAGGACTGGGCCCTTGAACCTTTCTGCCCTGGGTGGAGGCTTTTTTTTGGGATTGCCCAAGGGGGAAAGAAGCAGGTCGCCATCGGGTCCTCCGGTGGTTTCCACCACCGTCGTCCTTCTTTGTGTGAGGTGGTGAGCATTGTGAAGTCGACCTTGGGTCCTCGTGGCATGGACAAGTTGATTGAGGAGGGCAATGGGACCACCATCACCAACGATGGGGCGACGGTGATGAAGAAGTTGAACATTGCCCCTTGGCCTCGGACGTCTCCGCGGTGCGGTCGCCCTTCCTCGAACGGTGGAACGAGCGGGTTACGCAGCAACTGGAGGTGGACACCGGTAATGTGGACACCGGTAATTCGAGACACTGGTTTGATCCAAAGGGATAGCGTGAGTGTCCTTCTCTCTGGTGCATTTGCTACCGCGCTTGAGGTGGATCCTTCGGACCTTTGGCCCCCGAAGGGAGCGAGGAGCGAAGGAGGAAACCACCCGGTCCAGGGCGACATGCGCCCTGAAGAATTCCTTTGAAACAAAGGATGTTTATCCACATAGCAACGATGTCCAAGACTTGTTGAGTCTCCAAGGATGTCTCTGATCCATCATACTATGTAAAGGAATATGTTTAAAGGGCTTTGGTACTGACAGGTGTCCATGCTGATTTAAACCTAATCATTCGCACGGGTAATTAGGGTATAGGCTATAGGCAAGACATTTATCCTGAAGGACAGACACTTCATAACACTTCACATAAGAAGGTGTTGTTTCATCGCTTTGACTGTTCACCAACCACAAGACTCACCGATCCTCGCCACGCTTGGGCCACACCGCCATGGGTCCCACCCGGACCATGTGTCACGCGTCACGTGACTGGGAGGGGCGGGATCCGCAGGTTCATCCCGCGGCGCGGATCCTGGTGGACATCAGCAAGGCCCAGGACAACGAGGTCGGGGACGGCACCACCAGCGTGGTGGTGATCACCGGCACTTTGGGCTGAAATTCATACGGGGCTGGTTACCCCCCAGCTGGGGTGGTTCTGGGAGATCCTTTTGATGGGGATGGATCAAGTAGACATGCTCTATCACAATCCATCATTGTCTTTGGAACTGGACGTGTTACCAGAAAAGACCTTCTGGAGGGTCCCGCTAGAGAACTCTGCAAGAGCTCTCCAGTGTGGTTTGTCAGATCCTGCCACTTTGCATCGCATGGTCTAGCTAGTTTTGACCAAAGATTGTGAAGAAGCTAGGATTTCGGGGGCTATCAATTTGCAATCCACAGTCTGGACAGGAAAACCCAGCAAGGTTGGTTGAAAAGATGCTAAAAGCAGCAAATTAAGCTAATTAGGCTCCAGCCAGGCAGCTGTTTGGAGCTACAGGACTCAAAACCCGTCGGAAAACACATGCGCAACATCATGTGTGGACGTTTTGGAGGATAGAAGTCCAATTGCAATCATATTCCAGATTGGACCTGAGAGCCAGGAAAACGGCTTGAGGTGATGACGCTATTTGTGTCCTAGCTTTGGTTGTGAAGCTTTGTGTGCAGCTTTGACAACAGGCCCAGATGTATGGCATATTTAGATTTACATATACTTTGACCTCTTTTCAGCCACAAACCACCCAACTGATCGGTAGTCCTAAGTAGTCCTATGCCAGTCCCATGGAGACATATGGAAACATGGGCCGTGTTTAGGAGCAGATCACACCAAAGTTTAATGTAGATTACCATCATTTTACTTGAGTTCATTTCGGGGTCAGTACGAATCCTCAGACCTAAGTCTAGTAGTGAGACAGTGAGTCACTAGTCTAGTAATGTCTAGTATAATGTATACTTACTTTGCTTGCCCTGCTTTCCTCCACCAAGCTGAGCTCGAGGCGAGTTGCTGAAGGAGGCGAAGCACTTCTTGGAAGATGGCCTTGTCGCACCCCAGATCATCAAGGCAGACCCTGGACATTCTGCGTTTGGACCGTCAGGGTTTTCAAGGAGATGCTCCATCTCTCAGCCAAAGCATGTTCTTTTCTGGCAACTGATAGTTTCGTTTTGTTGAAGGGTGGGTGAAGGGTGGAATTGAATATTAGTGGCCAGAGAGCATCCAGACGGGCACTTGGAAAGGACAGCACTGCTTTGATTTCTGCTCACTTGAACTACAGCTACAGTCGATCGAGTCGATTGAGAAAACCGACCTTCAATTTTTAGGAGGTCTGCTCCTAGCCGCTGGCTGGTACCTACCCGCCATGTGAAACGGTGATGTTTTGGTCTCGGTGGAAAGTGGTTTCAGGACGGATGTGGTCGGATGACTCCCATCCGCCCTCCTTAACCCTTAAGATCCCTTGAGATGATCCTTAAGACCCTCAGAAAGCTGATGCGAGGCATATCAAACGATGTCCGACGTGTTGGTCGATACAGGTCGATACGGCTTGCGCGAGGTTCGATTAGTCGAAAGCCAATGGTGCCCAGCCTTGTTTCAGGACGGAGGAGCTTCGAGCATGCATACCCCAGCATGTGGGAGGCGGAGGCAGACATACTGAGAACACCCAGGTTTCCATGCTTCGGGCAACGTTTGATAGGTTCATTGTTACTCTAGCGTGGGGATCATAGTTATATATATTTCACGATATTTCATCTAAATCCCAGTGGAATAGCCTCGCGTCTTTTCACAGACGTCAGAGGCATTGCAGGCATGGTCAAGCCGGTCAAGTGGCCAGAGCCACAGTTCCTTCGACAGTAGCTCCACTCATACGAACCTCGATACTCTGAAGTCTGTGGGATACGTGAAGGAGTCCATCTCGATCTTGATGCATCTCTGGAATCGTAACTCAGGAGAGAGAACCTGTAAAGTTCATCAAGCGCAACTCATACTCCAGGCCTTCTTTCTGCTGGAGCTTCCCACGTGTGCCATGCTTGCGAACCGATCGGCAAAGACCAAGAGTGCAAGTACCACACCGTGCAACACAGATTTGCAACACACTTAATGCATGTATAAACATTTTTTTCCACGTGGACTTCAAGAGCTCATGACAATCTAGCAAACCCAAAACACAACGTCCAATGATCTGGGTCTAGAACTGTGTCCAACACGAAACGCTCAAGTGGCCAGGTGGTTCTGGTCGCATAATCAATGTCAACCCAAAAGAAAACTAAAACGCTGGACTAACGAAGCCAGTACTGGCAGCAATTCAGAGACCAACTCAATGGTCTACTTGGCCTTGGCCATCGAACAAAACATGGAATCCACCGCACCAACATGTACTTCACAGTGCAAAAAAAAACAAAAAGGCAAACATCAAATTGCTTGGATCTTGCGAGGTCACATCAACAAAAGATGTCAAGATAGCTTCAAAGATACTCCACATGGGTCACATTGAAGATAGTACCATCAAGTGCCATACATAGGTACTGTACCTGAAGTGCCATATATATATATATATCGCACTGTATATATATATATATCTATTATATATATATATATGTATAGGTACTGTACCATCAAGAGATGTTCTTCAAGTGCCATCTATAGGCAGGTACTGTACCTGAAAACCATCACTGGAACCCATGACGTTGCCCATGACCTTGAGCCCCAATTCATTCTTGCTTGGGGCATGGTCTTCTCCAGGGCTATCGGACGGCCTGCAACTTGGCCATCCAAAAGCTCATGGACATGGCGGTGGACTTGAAAGAGAAGTCCGCCGAGGAGAAACGCGCCATGCTCATCAGGCAGGTTTCCGAGCGTTTCGGGCGACACGGCACGGCGAAACTCTCTTTTTGGGTGGAGGAAGAAGTCAGACTGACTGAGGGGGTCAGCTTGGTTCGGCTTCGTTCCGGAAACAAGAGGTACCGAACGGATTGGCTGAGGGATGTTCTAAACAACAACTTGCAGATGGAGCCACCTAAGATTGGATCCAATTAATATGATCCAATAAAGATCATAGCCTCCTTCCAACAATAATGGAAGTGGAATGGTATGGCCCCTGGAAAGAACATGTTTCTCCAGGTTCTCTACAAACAGCGGGATTGCTCAGGAAACCACGTTCTTGGAGGGACGGTCATCTGTTTTGCTTGGCAAAGATCGATCTGATTTGGGCTCAGAAGCCAAAGGGAACCTCGAGGGGGTTCCCAGGACGCCTGGCAAGGGACGCCTGAGGCTGTCACACGCGGCGTCACAGAGGATTGAGAACACCCAGGTCCCAGACCATCCATATTTGCCGATCAGTTGGGGTGGTTGAAAAGGGGTCAATGTTTGTGAATATGCCATAGATGGATGGTACAGAGTCTGGGTATGGCTTGAGATAAGCTGCAGCAGCAGCTGCAGCATGAAGAATTCTCATGCCCTGCCTGTAAAACGCCAATAGATCGATCGTCGAGTGTGTGAAGGCGATATGCCAAGGTATGGCAGGTGAAAATGTTGCCCCATTAAAGGTGATTTGAGTAGATGTTTTTCTTCCAGCCGATTTTGGTGTTTGCTTCCAACTAAGGCCATATAGGCTTTACTTTCGCCATACCTAAAATACATTAAAATCCATCCTCAATACCTGAACCTTTCAAAATTGCTGATTGATGTTGATGGGTTTTTGGGCTACTCTGGATCATGGAGACCGCAGCTTCAGCTCAGCTTCTCCGCAGGTGCGCTGAGACCACGCTGAACTCGAAGTTCTGAGCCCGCAGTTCCGGGTGGACGGGCGGTGGGTATGGGTGTATCGGGGTGGATGGGTTCTTGGCAAGAGATGCACAAACCCTTGAATCACTTGGGTCTTGGAACCAAGCGGCAGAGAAGTCCATAGTCCCACACCAATCAGTCAAAGTGGTGGTTCAAGATGGTCCAAGGACAGTTCAACACGCCCAAATGCACTTAGTATATCTTAATATATGCATGTGTTTTGGCCATGGGTCTTTCTCGAGGACGTTGTGACCTTGTTTTTCGAGGCGTGGCACGGTAAGTCTTCTTTCAACTCAACGGTCCAAATTGGTGGAAAAAATGATAAAACATGAACCGCCACATGGACAACCTGTTCATCTAGAGGATCCAGTGCAAAGTTTTCATGAACCGAACCTGGAGTGATTTCTACGAGGTCTACAAGCCAACCCTGGTGGGACCTCCTCCAGATCGAGCTTTGGCTGCCCGGGATTTGACCAAGAAGCTCATGGGGTGACCCGCTCAAAACATATTGTATGCAGTAAAGCATATAAGTCCTCAAAACAAAACGCCCCTGGTATGCTTCAGCACTGGATTGGGATGCTTTGTATATATAAGTTTAGTTCCCACAAGTGGACCATTCCCATTCCGGTCACCAGCGTACGAAGCGTAGTACCCAAGCGCGTTCACGCGGTGGTCCCGGCGTAGTACCTGGGACCGAGGCTAGTGGCAGATTACAAGACCTTCTTCGCTCAGATGTCTGTAGATGCCATCACCATGTTGGGAGACGACGCTGGGTTCGTCATGTGGACGCTGCCACCCGTGACATGGGGCGGGTTTGGTATGGGTGACATTCCAAAGAAGGGCAAGGGTACGTGCCATTCTGCCATGGATTTGCCAGAACTGTCATGAACAGTCTGCGTAGAAAAGAGGGTTGGTTCATGTTGGTTCATTACGAGCAGATTGCAAGCATGGCAGCGTAGGTTCGTAAGACTATATAGTCAAAACTGATGTTCCCCTTTGGTGAATCCCCTGACTTTGGAACTACAAAAGAGTCATTCAGTGATTTAGTGTTGCAGGTTGGCTCCAACAGCCAGCCCATCCATCCATCCATCCATCCATCCATCCATCCATCCATCCATCCATCCATCCATCCATGAACCACGGCCTCCAACGGCCAACAGCCTCCGCACCACCCGCCTCCCGCCCCGGTGAATCGGGCGCCCGACCTTGGACCGACCGGTCCGAAACGTTAGGATTTGTCCGTCTCTTCAGTGGGCATCAAGAAGGTCACTGGCGGATCGGTCACCGACACGCTGCTGGTGGAGGCGCCAGTCCGCCGAACGTCTGGGACCGGTGCACGGTGCACGGTGGTCCGTGACCTGGGCGGGTGTAGGCAGAGCTGTCTGCGTTGGTGGCGACGAGGACCAAGAAAGGCTCCAGAAATCAAACAAAAACACTCCAATTCAATTCCAAATCAAGCAACAGGTTTGGCATGCCTGGCCCCTCCAGAAATAGCGTTGGTAGGACGTTGGCCACTGCTTGAATTCTCACCCCGGGTTGCCCGGAATTGGTGCGCTGTGATAGTTTTGTTGGTGGTTGGGTGGTTTCATGGAGCAAGCAGGCCCAGAACTTGCTTGTGCTTCCACTGCCAGGGTGTTTGCTTCAAGAAGTGCTTCTCCTATGCTGGTTTTGAGCAACAGCCGAAGCGCTTCGAGAATGCGTTTCTTGGAGTGTTTCCTGCTGGCTGGCTGGGTAGCAAGGAGGAAGGGGGAGCCGCCAAAGGTTGGGAGTGTTGGGTTTCGCGAGAGGTTCCATGCAAACGAGACGTTCAGAGTTCAGGATGTCCGATGCTTGTTCTTTGTTTTTTTCATGACGTGTGATCGGTGTGTATCACGTTGCCATTTATTATAGAAGCAGACTATCAGCCCTTCAAGACCATTTACCTCTCTTTTGCTTTCAGGATTGATTGAGAGAGGGTAGTACTGGTAGAGAGGGTATACGTACCTTTGTTTGAAGGAGCCTTTGCCAAACCAGTTGGTGTCGTTCTGACCTCCATCTGGAAGATCCACCATTCACTGGGTCTAGTAGAGGATCTTCATTTAGCAAGTCATAAGGCTCTTTTGATCTATATAGATTATATATAGACTCCCTAGAGAATCATATAGAATCCAACGATAGAAAAGTAGATCCCACTAAGAATATATTGGACATCTTGTCAATCCATATTTGGGTCACCCCCAAAAAAGACAAACAAGCAGAGGATTTGCCAGAGATTCTTTGTGGCAGCCAAACGAACCGCACCGGCCGAACGTGCCCCAACCGGCGTGTGTTTCCCGCGGCGTGAAACATGTTTCAACGCGCTTTCACAGAAGAAGGCGAGCTGCTGAAGAAGGCAACAGTAAAGCAAAAGGGCGAGTCGAACCTGGCTTGTCGCGGCCACAGCGCGACGTCCTAACCACTAGGGGAGCCGAGGAAGATTTTGCTGCTGAATTTGGAGCTGGAGTTGAAGGCTGAGAAGGACAACGCTGAGGCGGCTGTGGGAGACATGGGTCGTCCTGTTGCAGTGGAGTTGGTAGAGCCATGGCATGGCAAAGAAGAGAAGACATGGATTTAAAGTGCATGGCTTGTCACGGAACTGCAGGCAGTATTGGATGGTCAAAACGGAAGTTGGCCCCAGAAAGTAGGATGACCTTTTGACATGGATTGGTCACCAACATGGCTAGCTCATTAACCAGCCTAAATTGAGGGCATTGAGGGTCAGGTATTTCATAACACATCCTCCCCAGTTGAGATTGGGTACGCTCCACCCACTACTTTGAGCATTCGTAGTCACCAGAGGGTTTGAACTCGATCATCGGAACTGGCATTGCCATGGTTTTGACATGTTTTGACACTGCAAGAGCAAAGCTGGCACTTGCCATCGGGTAGGTGTAAACCACCCAGCTGGGGCTTTGTGTGTGGGCACATATATACTGGGCAGGTGAGGATAACAGATCCTGACCAGTACCAGTCCATCGTGGATGCTGAGTGGAACATCATCTATGCCACTTGGCCGGTGTTTGAGGGAGGGCAATGATTTTTTGTTAAGTTATGTGTTTTGTTCTTTGTTATGTTTAAACATGTTTGTTTGTTTTATCAATTTATGAGTTGGCTTTTGGCTTTGTGGCTTCTGTGGCTCTGTGGCTTTTGACTTCTGCAGCTTTTGTGGCTTTTGGAGTGGATTTTGATGGCTAGGATTTGATAGCTTCTTCTGTTGGCTTTTGGTACTTAGTTGATTGGTGAAGTTACAGTAAATGTTGGCGGCTTTTGGCTTTGGACGGTTTGTTGTGGGTTGGTTTGGTTTTTGATAGCTTGCTTTTGGCTCTCGTGGATGTTGTTGGAATTTGATGACTATATTAGGTGCAGAGAACGTTCTTTCTTGTTGGCATCTCGCAGCTTTTGGGTGGCTTGGCACTTGGTTTGATTTTTGGGGAGGAGCTGCGCCCTCCACCCCCTAAAGCTTCTTCAAGCCAAGCCAAGTGCACTAACTCCTTCGCTAGACCTGAAGCCAGAGCCAAGCCCAAGCAGTTCAGGGTAGGGGATGACTCGCCAGCACTGAGAAACTACACCCTCCTCAGAGGCACCAGAGGACTACACTTCCTAAGACTACCCAACAAGGAGCAGGTGCTAGGTTCACCAAATTAATCAAATGAACCACATCAGGAGCAAAGAACACTCCAACATCAACTTTGCAACCCCGCACTTGGGCGAGTTGGGGGCCACAAACTTATATCCTTAAAGATCACCCGTCCACGGACGGCCACTTGAGTTTCTTCGGGCAGCATTGGGCAGGAGAAGCTGGATTTGATCGCCAAGTCCGGCGCCAACGTCGTGTTAAGTCGCTTAGCCATCGGTGACTTGGCCACTCAGCCACTTGGCCCTGCAGTGCTTCGATCGATTCGCGTCATGGATTCGCGTGGGCAAAGCGTGGCGGATGGAAAAGGACTTCGGCTCCAGCAAAAAGAACTGCAGATGCTTCCAGAACTGCTGCAGAATTGCACCATCATGATCTGCAAGTCTTTCCTGAAGCCAGGATCCCCCACATCTCTTTCTCTAGGGAGTCGGAAAGCCCTCCAAGGCACCCAGCATCCTCCTTCAGCCTGGTTATTCACTTCGTGGCCGTCCTTGAAACCCCACACCCGGACCCGGACCGTCGTTCGGTCAAAAAGGCGCCTCGACCCGACCCCTTGATCCGACTGCAATCCATCCATCCCTCTTCGATTGCATCTCAGACCCCTCGGTCAGTTCCCGCGCTCGGCTCAGTCCCTCTCGGACTCCAGGTATTTTGCGGACCGCAACATCTTTTGTGCCGGGCGCTTGGAGGTGCCACGGTCCAACCGCGCTCGGTGCACGGTGGGCGTCCTCCGTGGGCGGTGCGGACCGCAGCGTGCGAGGTTTCATGGCATCGTCAAAAGTCGCCGTTTGACCGTCTGACCAGTGCTCTCCAAGATGTTTGTTGTGTTTCTTTTACTTTTTTGACAGGTGGAAGAGATTGTTCCTTCTCAACACCTACGAAACCACGGCGACCAGTAGAATCAGTACCTTGCAGCACGCGGAAATGCGGAAGAACCCCCGCAGGTCTCGCTCCAGCACGCCGGGCCAGGTCGAGGATCTGGAGCGCACGCGGCGTGCCACGGGCGCAGAAGTGCAGACCACGGCCCAAGGCATCACCCCGTGACCTGGCAACGCAACGATCCACGTTGCGGGGCGGAGCGGAACCACGGCGTTTTGCTGCGTTGAGGGGCGGTGACGTCGAGGGGCCGGTGGTTTTGGGGGGTGGGATTGTTCGGATTGGTGAGATCTGGTGATCGGTGAGAAGAAGCCTGTTGGAATGAGAGAAGCATTGTGACTGTGAACTGTTGGTTTGCAAAGTAACCCTGCCTTTCGGGGGTCCAATTCATCAGGACCTTGGCTTGGAGAGGTGCCAAATGGTGCCGAATCCGAGTCGGGGCTCTCCAATGGGGTTTTCCGGGCCCGACACCGAAACCAGGTCTCGACCTGAACGGTTGGCCTTGTCCGGTTCGGGCCCGGAGTCTTAGGGTAAGAGAGACTCATCAATGCTGAACAGTACATCTTTCTATAGCAATTCTATAGCAGGCCACTGTGTACTACAGGTGTAGATGAGCAGTGATCCAGTCCAATTGGTCTTAATTGGTGACAAGTATATAGAGCTTGGTGCTGGTATAGCTTTGCTTGGGGCACAGCCAGGCACAGTGGAATGATGGGGATGAGTCTTTAGGCGTCAGCTTCTTTTTTTTCGTGTTTGCTGGGGCAGCTGAGTGCTTGTTGGGGAGAAGCCGTAGCCCGAAGTGTTTGGGGGTGAATGTGGAACTCAGAAATGATGGCTGATCAGCTGGAGCAATTCAGTGTAATCACGTGGCCTGACTTGGCTTGACTGTGATTCAGAAGACGTTTTTGGTGAATAATATGCTTCTGGTCACCAGGTGGTTCTTATGTAAAAAAGACTTATATAAAGAATCTTAAAAGAGACACACGGTGAAGTGAGAAGTGAATAGTGAATCCCTTGCTGCTATCCTTGTGCCACAACTAAAAGGTGCTATCCTTGCTGCTATCCATGATGCGGCCGGACTCGCGGTGATGCGCCCCCGTCCCCGACGAACTCGGGAGCCAGGAGCGTGCTGGGTTCGTGTGGCCTCTTTGAGGAAAAGCAAGTGGGTGCTGAGAGGCCCCCTCTACGGCCGGGTCGACGGCCGGGTCGGGTCGGCTGCCGGGATGCTTATATAAGCTGCCTTATAGCTGCGAAAAGAGCGGAGAAAAACTAAAAGTACAACAGGGTGGTTGGTTTTTGTTCTTGCAACTTTTTGCGGTGGATATGGCCTTTGGCGCGGGGTGGACTCTATATTAATATATTAATACTAGTTAACAGGGTGAGGCGGGTTTTTGAGGTGCAGATCAAATGACAGCGGGCGGTGGAATCTTTTCACGAAGTACCCAGACGCTCTGTTCACAGCCCGACCGGTCTGGTTCGACCCCAGACCCTCCAGAGGATTGGGGTCCGACCCCTCCATAGGGTCCATGAGCGTTGAGCGGTTGGTTCAGAAAGAGCAGAGGTCTTTGATGCCATTGATATACAGTTGCTTTGGGTGCGTGTTCTGGAGACGGGTCTCGCCACGGCAGGTTCAACTTCTTCACCAAATGTGCCACTGTGATCGCAAGGAAGAGGTGAAAGCAAAAGCGGGTGTCCATCGCGTGAGTGAAGATGACAACCCCCGGGCCCCGGGCCCGATCCATAGACAGAACCAGGGTGTATGGGGTTCGATGGAGCGCAGGACGTTCTCGGCACTCACCGCCGATGATGGCTTTGGTGATCCTGGGAACTCAGTTTGATGGAAGGTGTTTAACAGGACCAGGGAAGTGGATGGAAATGGTCAGTGGCAGATCCGTATTCAATCACTTGTGCCTTTCTTGCGTGATAGTTGCTCAAGGGCTGGTATAACCAGCATGATGTTTTAGTGTCCTAGACCTAGCACCCAGCTAAGGGAGCTGAAGCTGAACATCTTGAAGTCTTGAGGTCTTGACTCCCGCAGCATCACATGCACCTTTCCTATGCTTTGGGGACCTTGAAAGCAGCTCACTCCCAGCTCCCAGCTCCAAAACAGGTGTTCTCAGCGACCTCCCTGTGATCACGGACCGCTTTCTCCGCCTGAGGAGAAGACGAAGACCGCCACCATCCTCATCCGCGGCGGGGCTCAGCAGTTCATCGACGAAGCCGAGCGATCGCTCAACGACTCCCTCATGCGCCTCGCCAGCGAAGACAGCGGAGCGATCACACGGCGGAGCGACGACGGCAGCCTGAGGCTGTCCTGTTCGGCTGTCGCAGGTGGGAGAAAAGGAAGACAACGGGTGGGCTCCGAGGCGAGGTGAATGGCTAAGGGGAAGGAAAGGCCAGTGAAGGCCAGTGAGTCAGAGAGAAGTTCTGGTTACTGGCTGCGTGCCGTGTCGCGTGTGGTGGTAACTTGAATCGATCTACTGCATATCGATCTATATATGATCATGAAATATCATGAGTTTCTGTAAACAAACAACATGTTGTTGCACATGTTGTTAGACAACGATACAGTAAACATCTCAACAGTTCATTCAGTGCCTGCTAAAACTTCTTCAGTTGCCCTGATATGTCGCATGCAGCAATTGATAGCAATTAGCCTTTCGTGACAGGAGAGCTGGCATAGTCATCAGCGTCTCACTCCTCCCTGAAAAAGCCCATGCCATAGTGAGGGCCGCTATGTGAACCAACTGGTGCCCTATGTGACCCACCTCAGTCGGAACCCCTTTCGGGACATGGAGCACCCTGAGCTCTGTCGGGACTTGCGGAGCACCCCGAGCTCTGTCTGCAGTGGCGGTGCTCGGTGCGGCCATGAGCGGCCTGAGGATCGTGCGCCGGGCCATGAAGAACACCAAGGTGCGGCGGAGCAGGGTGCGAGGTTGGAGCAGGGTGCCACCCTAGGGATCCACATACCGAAGCTCAGGAGGCACGACTGGGCCCTCCAAGCCCACATAAATAGTCTCCAATCACTATCACCTTGTGAGAACGTACTTGGATCCCTAGGGCTACATGGTTTTACGGGTCAATGTATGTCAATATGCCATATACATGGATTGGGTTGGAGACCTTCCAACAGAGGCCTTTTTTCAGGCGACCGGAGTCGTACAACGATCCCCGTTGGGTACCCCACAGTCCTATAATTCAGGTCAACCCCACCTTGCTTTGCCGATCTTGATCATCTTGGAGCCATAGAAAACACTTATCTTGCTCCATTTAAAAACAAAAAAGATATTTGATACATATTCACATCTCCGTTGCGGTAACTTGAATTGATCTTGGAGCTTAACAAGAACACTCTCATCCGATCGATGTGAGACGCTTGGATGTTTGAGCCGAAGCTGGATGGGACTGGCCAGATGGGGTGACATGATCGGACTAAGCGGGACTAACATGTCGTTTCTTCTTTTGCCCAGTGGTTTTAGCAAATGGAGTCACCCCTGCCGAAAAAACACCAGTCTTCTTGAGATGTGGGTATTGCGCAACATTTGGATGTGTTCATGATGATGGTTAAAGTATGTCGAAGTCATATTCTTGAGGAAAGCGCTTCAATCCATTGCTTAGGCTCAATCTCATCCATGCCATGCAGTCTTCATGAACTCGATCCTATCACTCACCACCTCAGACCTGCCTTGCACGGATTGCCCTCCTCCTCGATCTCGCGTCCAACATCACCAGGTGGTGGGTGGTGGCGGTGCCATCGAGATGGAGCTCAGTCGATACCTGCGAGAATACGTGGCTCGGCAACAACAGAAAAACCGAGAACGGATGAGAACGGCGGGAACTCCACCCTTTTTTCATGCCAAAAATGCGTGGTGAAGGGGCGCTGCTGGACATGTTTGGGGTGTGAAAGGTGTAGTAGATCCTGGCAGATCCTGGTGAGATGTGGTGAGCAAAAGTGCAAGTAATCCACCTAAGGAAGTGAGTTTGTAACATGCCCTCCGCCGAAGTGGACTTCCCCACACGACCTGGATTTGGACGTGCTCCGTGCCCGCTACGGAGCGAAGCTCCGGGTCGCAGGCGCGCACCATCAGCGGCAAACAGCAGCTGGTGATCAATTACTTTGCACGAGCGCTCGAGGCGTGCCGCCGGCCCGCCTCGGCCGCCTCGATTGGCGTGCGCTGGGAGTGGTGGTGAAGGACCAGTGGCCATTGGTTGGCGTGGTGAACATACCATTGATGTTTCGAGGTGATGTCAGGAGTTTGCTGTTTGTTTGAGAGTGTTATAATATGTGTTATACTAAGATTGCTATTACTATTATGATCATTGTTGTTGTAATTATATATATGCCGTAATATGCACCTAGATCCTCATCAGGCAACAATTCCCACCTAACTTTATTTAGGCTGAAACATCCGCTCGTTTGTACCAAGAACGCCTAAGCTGCAGACTTGAGGCTTAAAAAGGCTGAGAGACAATTACACCTGCAAGAGGCAGAACCAGGATTTGAATGATCAAGTCACCCACCCTGCTCACGGACCCGAATCCTCTGGAGGGGTCGAACGAGTCGAACCAATCCCTATATAGGTTTTGAGGGACCGGTCGGGCTGTGAACGGAGCGTCTGGGACACATGAAAAGAAGGTGACCATTCCTTTGTCCAGCCAACTACTCATTGTAGTGAGGGGGAACGGGTAAGAACGCTTAAGTAACGGGCAAGAACGCCTAAGTAACCCGTAAGAATGGATATGCAAAAAACATATTGAACCAATATGAAAGCAATGAATCAAAGCGTAGAAACACTAAACACATATAAGTTAAGCATCAAGCGATTTCCTGATATATACAAATGATGTTCACCGTCAAAATTCCTGGAACCTGTGATGGGTGGATCCTTATTGACACCAAAAGGGCCAAAACGCCAAGATGGGACAAGAACGGCTCAACTTTAGGAAGCAAGAACGCCTAAGCACGGACGAAGGTGCCCTTTTCCCAGTGATAGGCATCATGTTCTGCGCAAGAAGAGGTTCTAGGCACACAAAACTCAGATTCAGATAACGTTTCATATACCAGCACCACGGATTCCGGGTGTCCATTAATAGCCCCTTAGAGGTCAAGGGGTGTCCATTAACCACCCCGACTGGGGGTTCAGGTAGTAATTAATTAGTCAAATGGTGGTTGAGACATTTTGAGACCAACCCTTTTGTAGATCCCGAAGACCACACGAAGAAGGTCATTCATCATGTGTAGGTCGACCTCACTTCAGGATCGGACTTCTTGGACGCAAGTGATATCATCTCCCAGCTTCTTTTACTTGGTAACCCTGTTTGGAGTCATGATGTGACATGTTGTGACCTATTTTACAGGGTATACATAAATATGTATACCTATAAGACCAGGATAAGTTCGGTCACCTTGAGAAGTAATCAGGATGTCTGACGTCCAGAAGTGGTCATTGTTTGTTTGCTCCGTTCGCTCTCTCTCTCTCTCTCTCCCCGTGCGATCGAGCTATCCCGGGCGCTTCTCCGCCATCGGGCGGGTCTCCGGCAGGTCATTCCGATGACCTTGGCGCAGAATAGTGGCGCCGATGGCACGAAGGTGCTGAATCAGCTTCGGCAAAAGCACGCCGCAGCAGGAGTGCCGACGGCGCGCCAAAGGCGTTTCACGCACACGCAGAAGGGGGAGGTGTTTGGAAGCAGAAGGACGCGTCGAGTGTATTTCAGGAGATCTTTATCAAACGGACCATGTCCCATTGCACTGTCCCACCCATTGTTTTGTTGGAATAGATGGGAGATCCAATCCGATGCACTGAACAAAGGGCCCTCAAACAATTATGGTTCAGGGCCATCAAGCCATTTAGGAACCAATTTAGGAGCCCCAAATTTGGCTACCCCACCTGGTACCCGGGAACAGGTGAAGCATTTCGTGCACCCCACACTGGTTTCTGGGTTTCCTGGCAGACTTGGTCCGGTCGGGTCGCTCATGGAAGGGCCGGAGCAGGACCTGAGGGTCGCTGGTTTGGCGTGGACTGCATGAATTGCACAGCCTGGCCGGCTCAGTTCTGAAATTTGCGACGCAACCCGCAGAGGCTTTTTACAATTCCCCAGAAAGTGTGGACACACTAGGGGTTGTTACGGTAATAGAAAAAGCAGCTGTGCTTAGATCGCACTTACTCTCACCCACACTCACTTTCACTCACACTCGCACTCCCTCTCACCCACACTCACTCACACCTACCTTCACTCTCACTCACGCTCACACTCACACTCACTCACTCACCGCCACCGTCACCACGATCCCCACCTTCATCACCACCATCACCTCTCTGGAACCCAATGCGTCTAGATCTCTAGACTTTCTGCTTACAGACCTCACACACACACACTGTTTGGGGTCTCTTGCCGGGATAATGCCGATGTATCTCCGCGACGCGTGCAAGTGGAGGAGTTCTTGGGGAGGTGATATCGCTGATCCAAGTGAGGACGTCCTTCTTCGCCACACTGGATCCTGTATCTGCTAGCTAGGTGATGCTAGGTGGTCTCTCACAGAGTGCGTCGACGGAGGTACTTTGCCTGGTCAGCTATATAGGCCTCCTTTCAACAGGAAGCCACGGGCCATCGACTTGCCATTGACCACCCCCAACCACACCGAGGAAACTCCACAGGGAGGGCGTCGTCCAATTCGGAGGTGTTATATCACTTTCGGAGGTGAGCGCGATGGAGGATCCATGTTGGAGGTAGTCCAAGGAAAATTCTGACTGGTGCCATGCGCAGGGTATTGGATGGTTTTGGGATTCGACTAATATCATCTCAGATCCATACCCCCATATAAGCCGGCGCCTCTCACTCCTTGATTTCTCACCCTCTCGATTTTCTACTCTTTGCGCCTCAAGTCGTGGCTATAGAGGCGCCTCACCGCCAGGTCTGTGATGCTTTCCAGAATTACATCTGGGAACCCGTTTTGGTCAAAGAAAGCGCCTTGAACGCTGCGACAGAAGCGGCCTGCCTTATCCTTTCCATCGATGAGACTGTGAAGAATCCGCCCCTCGGCGCAGTGGGCGGGGAGAAAAGATGTCGAAGTGGGTTGATGAAGCTGCTGCAATTTGAGGGAGTTTAGATCGATTTTGGAAGGTCCAGGCTTTTCTAAGGCAGTCAGCATCACAGATCCACAAATCGTTGGGAGGGAGGTGGATTCTTCAGACTTTTGATCCATTAATTAAATCATAAGTTTGTTCACTCGCTTCTCCGCATCCACGAAAGCTCCATCCAACAAGCCGCCAGGCAGAGCGAGAAGCCGCAAGCGGGGCCGAAAGGAAAAGGCAAAGGGAAGGCCTCAAGCGGCCTCGCGTCGTGCGCGTCTCGCATCTCGCGCACCGTATGTTTGTTCATATGATAAATATCAACAACATCGAAAACGCCAGAGCTCGCTCTCGCGGCTCGTGGCTCGCCAGGGCATGGGCATGCCAATGGGCAAAGGCCGTGGCCGCGGTGCTCGAGTGCTGAAGGGATGACGTGTCGCGTCGCTGTCGCCGGTGTCGCGACACGGTCCGGGTGGGCCCGGTCGCAAGACGTCGCCGGGACTGGCCACCCGGTGTCGCGGTCGAAAGACCAGACGTCGCGGCGGATGCAAGAAAAGGAGAGAGCTGGGCAGGTGAGTGGTTCTAAGAGTAGACATTTTGGCATAGTTCAACCGGGGGAAACACTACTTGTCAGTGCGTTCTTCACTTTGACTGGATGGTGATTGGTTGTTTTGTGAATCCCATCTTGGTCCACGATGTTTGGTGGAGATCAAGTGTATGTGAAGTCCCTTGAACAGTGCTTGAGAATCTTGAGTCTGAGAGTACCAAACTTACCCAAACTGTGCTTCAGCTGCTTTGCGTCGCGAACTGGTGACCAGTCCTTAAAAGCCTTCAAGTTTAAGAAAAGTGGGATAACTGATGATAACTGATGATCAGATTTAAACTGGGTTCTTGACTGTACAAGCCAAATGTTCCTAGACTTAGTAGGTTCCTGGAGTAGTTCACCAAGGAATCCTGTGAACTTTGACTTTGGAATCCAGTGAACGGGTTCTAATTGGTTTTATGTGAATTGATTGTTAAAAGGGCAGCCAGAAGGAAACCTAACAATGGATGGGACACATCCGCTTTCGGCGAACGTGGCGCTTCGTGCCCTGAGGCTCAGGCTGCTCATCCCCGCCTGAGAGTGTGCGCCCGCGTGCGAAGATGGTTCAGAGAAGAAGCACAGGATCCTTTTCCTTTGAGCCAGTCCAAACATCAAACTTAAGCTATGGAAATGACTGCTTCTTGAGCCATGCCCATGCCTATACAGGTACAGAGAGACAGTACAAAGAACTGGAGTTGTTGGGTCAACTACCATTTGCGAGATATCGCTTCTTTGGTAGGAAGAAGAACTTCACTACCCGACCCCTTGTTTGGTTGAGGTCCCCAAAAGTATGTTGAGAAGTTCTTGGATGCAAGCATCATGCTGTACCCATCAGTGGACAAGTCCATATTTATTTATGTAAAGATCATGTTGAAGGACCCGGTGTGCCTACGGCGAAGAGGAATGCCATGTCCATATATATTTCAAGAAGCACCACCAACGGGCTGATAAGAACTCGGGTAGAGGACAATCCATGTCATAAAATTGGAGAATTCCTAAAACAAATGGTTGAAGTGAAGGCACATATCTTCCTCATCAGAGGCTCCAGAAGAAAGCTCCCGAGTAGATGACTTGCAGTCAGAATGTCCCTCTCTTCAGAAGATCTGGTCTTCCCTGCTGGGAACCGTACCACTTGACATGTGCTGTCACTTACATCCCCGGAGGAAAAGATCTCCGATTTCGATCACGTCCTTGATATTCGCGCTGAAAAAGCTGAACAAAGTATGCTTGCTTCCATGTTTGTGTGTCTTTGTCCGGTCTATCAGGTCACGGTCATTTTCATGGTAAATCAGATATGGAGTGACACCACATGAAACCACTACCAGCACCTCCAACAGCTCACCAATGGAAACCTCTTAATGGCCTAACGGGCCCTGCCTAACAAGCCTCCATTTCGGAGACCTGTAGAGTCAAGAGAGTTGAAATCACCCACCAGTCATTGATATTTCGCTGGGTGTGGATGCCCTCACCGCCCTCCGGAACGAGCGACGCTGGGAGCCGCAAGTGGACCGAACACCCGAGGGGTCGCTGCCGCGCAAAAGCTACGCGCCCGACCGCGTCGCTTCGCTTCTGCCGGGGTAGACGACGTCCAGTTCCAGAGAGTACATGGCTATGTGTCTAGCTAGATGGTCGTTCGCTTGCTGGCCCACTGCCGCCCACATTTCAGCAACTTGAAGATGAGGAATCAATATCAATGTTTGGCCAAACATCCTGCTGGCTGCACCCCAACTCCAAACCTTCGACGGTGCGGACTAACCTCTTGTTCAACCGAAACACCCGACACCCGGCGTCTCCAACTGTGGCCCTTAACAGCCGTGTGTTACGTCGCACGTGTAGGACTCGAAGGACTCTGACTGCGGACTTTGACTGTCCCAGTTGGGTACCCCATGGTGCAGTATAGGCCCCGGGTCTATATAGCGTCGAAAAAGCTCAGGTCACCGTCTTGCCCACCTGTCGCAAGCGAGGAGATCACCTCGTCGCTGCACCGATGTGCCAACGCCAGGTGTTGGCCCGTGAGCGTCTCTCCATGTTGGTCTCGGACTTCACCTGGAAGGCCGGGGCGAACGGCCTGTGGCGCTGGTCGATGAGAAAGCGGCGATTCACTCGCTTCGCAGAGGGTCCAGGGAACGGGTTCCGTGTGGGGTGGATGTGATCGATGGGGCCTTCGCTTCGGTGGTTGGACACCCCGAATCACCTCGAATCGGCTGTGAATAGACACCTCAGGAAGGAAGGTGCTGGTAGAGTCACATGATGTGGATGGTGAGTCCCATCCAGGGGCCGTTTTGAGTGACGACGGGGCACCTCGACTTACTCCTTCCTCCTTCCGAACGGTTCGGAACCGGCACCCCGGAGCGACATGTGACTGGATTGAAGAAACAGTGAAATGATCAGTCCAGACCAGCCCCTCCAAGAGTCCAGACCAGCCAGACCTGTTTTTTCTCTCTGCAGCACCCATGGTGGACCCTGGTCCACGTAGCGTGGCATGCTCCTCACATCTCCCTCATCATAGTTATAATCGACGTCATGCAGCGACAACGTCGACGCTGCACGTGACCACGCACCATTAATTCAGGCGCATCAGCTGCGCTTGGAGTTAGCGCACGCAGAACAGGCTGGGAGCATTTGGGAGCTGGGCGAGTTGGAAGTGGCCACAGGAGCTCCAAAAGACACCAAAGAAATGTCAAGACCCATTGAGGTTGGGATCTCCCCATTCCCTACCCAAATGATTCCATGATTACATTCAGATCTTGGGGTGGACACGGTGTCCGGAGAGCGTTTTTCTTGTACACCGAGGTCTTGTGGCGAGATGAGCATCAAGGATTGAGGATTCACAGCCATGTCACTTTGTAGATCTTTATAGTGTTTTACGATGTTTTACGCTATAATTAAGCTCTTTCTGTCCCACAAGATTCCACATGGCTCAGTTTTCCACATGGCCGTCTAGACGCCCTACTAACGCCTTCCGGCGTTATGAAGGCCGGTTCCGGCCTGTTTGACCAGTTTTCCGCTGTTGGGCCCCCGCTCCAAAGAACTCTAATTCCTCAGAAGGTGAGACCGTACCCCTCTGGCACCCACCCCGGTCCGACCTTGTTAGGAAGTACTTGCAGCCCATGTCGGGTATTTGAGAGATGTCGGCCTGCAACTGAACCGCCAGGCAGCTGTGGACGTGCAGGGTTATTTCTCGACCACGGGGAAAGACAAGGACTGCAGATGCGGAGGATTTCCGGAGTCCCACGTCCGGAGTTTCGGTGGGGTCGTTTTCTGTTTTCATGGATGGTGGGAAAAGGTTGGGAGGATACAACAGCTTCTGAAAGGTGTCAATCCAAAGCTCGGATGGTCCGTAGACATGGTTTAGTCTCTACCACGTAATCTCCGGCCTTTCGGTGATGATTTAGGTGTGTGAATGTGACTTTGACATGTAGAAAGTTCAAGAAACCTTGATGGAGATGGTCTATGATTTTGGATGTCTCTAAGTGACGCCAGATCATCCCAAATCCACTCTATGCTTCACCCCCCAAAATGCCACATCTTCAATACTACAATAGTCAGCTTGGACCTAGTGACAACACTTAAGAGGTCACAAAATGGGTACAGGATGGTACTCATTATAGTAGAACTCATGTATGTATATAGTGTTCAATTGAGTGTTGAATCCGAGATCCACTTTGTTTGTTCAGTTCAATTCTTTTTGAATCAAACGAACATGTCACTCTGCAGTCACCGCTCACAGCAACCCTTGCATCTTTACTGCAGTGAAGGTTGACATCTCTGGTCGATTTCTTCGTGGGTCAACCCCGGCCCAGGACACCGCGCAGGTGCGCAAGCCCTTCGAAGACGTTGACGGACGGGGCGAAAGGTGGACCGTCCGGTCCTGCAACGTGGACCGATGTGAAGCGAACGGGAAGTGGACCGACTGAGGGATACTACAATTACTAACACCCACTGAGGGATACTACAGTCGACATGCATGCGTTTTGTTTGGGGGGTTTGGCCAGCAAATTCCGTGATTTCTGCTGGCGGGCGTAATTTTTCGGTGTGGAGAAGCCGATGGAAAGATCTGCAAACTGCTGAGAGGGCCATATTAGTTCAATCTATCTCCTTTCGTGAGGGATTGGTGACCTTTCCAGCGAGGAGGTGGGGGGACCGATGTCCAGAAAGCTGCTAGTATTTGTTCAAGCTTCGAAGAGGGTCGAAGCATGTCCTTGTTGACCCAGATGCGACCTGTTTGACTGGCGATCATTGATCAGTTGATTACGGTCTAAGGGTTTGGTGTAGCCCATGTTGGAGAAAGAGAGATGTCGGCCTGCAAGAAGACGCGGAGATTCCGGCCCTGGGATCTACGCGGCCCTACCCTGGCGGTCAAGGTATGAGGTCCATTGAAGTCTTATGACACATGTAAAGCCATGGTAAACTGCAAAAAACAAAATACATGGTGAAAACATTCACATGGTTCGATTCCAAAAACCCCTCAGAAACATCAGAAACCGTCCCCTGACAGACCCTCCTCAAGGCGGCTGCAAAGCTTCAGCGCGTTCCACCCGAGCAGTTTCCTGGGCGTAGTTCACAGGGGCTGGGCTGTGCGGGTGGTCTTCCTCACGAGGGTCTTCCTCACTCCAAGGAAATCACGACCGTGGCAGGTGAGCCAGATCATGTTTGTTCAGAGAGGTTCTTCATACCCCAGACACGACCTGTCTGGGACTGCCAGTCCGCCGATCAGTTGAGGCGGCCCCGGGGGTCAATGTAGGCATGTATGGCAGTCCCATAGAGTGTTTGGGTATACATTCAATTCATATGAGGCACCTTGGCGATTCAACTAAGTACTCACTTCTTGCTATGCTGTTTATCAGACAGATGGCCCCCCCCACATATATCGTATCTTGACTTAGACTTTCTTTAACTCCAAGACAATGTCTAACGGGAACAACATGAATTCCCATAAACTCTCCCAGTACTCACCCAGATACAACATGACA